GGTCGAGAACCCTCACTCCGCGCAAGGGGGATGATCGCACCACGTTATGTGAAAATGGTCAAGCACCCTCGAGGCAGTTACACAGTGCTTACAACTGTCTCAGGAAGTGAAAGCACCAGAAAATAAATTAAGTCATACGCAGCTGTCATCCGTACGCAAGGAAGTAAGCACAAGATGCCGAAAACCCTTAGCAGGATGCAGCGCACCCTTCATGCGACTCGCCGAATATCTCACGGCGCTTCGCGCTTGGTGATGTGAGAGCCTGGTCCGGTGAGAACCCGGCGTGCTCCGTCCCGGCTTTGTAGGGATGCGAGGTCAATGGTCTAACGACTACGGCATGCACGACTATGAGTACACCCCCCCCCGTACATATTTCTCTGTTTAGACTAATGCATATTATTTCCTCCTCGTACAGTCAGGGTCACTGAATGCATGATCCATGCGTTCAGTGACCGTCAATTCTCTCCTTCGCTATTCCCATCCTCTGTTTCTTTCTATGCAGCAGGTGTTGAGCGGGCCGCACATGACCTTAGCGTCCCTGTAGGTCGACGATTGATGATGCCAAAAGCACAGGCGCAGCTCGGGATCGACTATCGTTCTCCTACTACCACAACCACGTCCACTTCGTTCGTGCATCGCCCGCCTAGTTCCTAGGAAACGCAAATCAAAAGAGAAACGGAACCTAACGTTCGGGAAAGCTGTGCGTTTGATGCCGTCTTGGTTAGCTCTTGTGTAGACTCCTTGCCCACTGCCACGGCCCCAACATGAATGGTGCGACACCCAAGAACCTGTGCGTTGCAAGATTGCTGAAGCAGCAACGTGTCGCCACCCTGCTTTCGCCTGTCTGTACTGTGCGGATTGCTCTTTTAAGTTATGCTGATGATTCAAGTGTTGTACAGAAAAATTGTGTTTGCTACTGACGGTGGATTTCTTCGTTTGTTGGGTTTCCTCCCGATCTGCCTTTGGTGATCTGCTTTCCATGGCGTGTGCTTGAGGATTTTCTGAGTCCTGCATATTTATTTATTTGAGTCCTAGCGAGTGAGTGCCCTTCTCTTGAGTAGTTGGCCTGTGACCACTTAATGACGCCCGAGTCAATTGGGCCAGCGCATGGAAGGTAATGAAAAGAGACGGGAATGATTTTATGTGAAGGCACCAACAACAACTGTTGGCGTATTTTTTTTTCGTATGTAGCTCGGTTTCCTCGCGTTGAAATTACGGCGTTAACATTTCTTTTCACCCGGCTCTTTTGTCTACCGAGTACCTTCACACGCCAACGGGACCCTCCCGAACTTAGTGTCCCCATCACGACGATTCATTAAGTTCGAAGTACGGGCCGAACCTGGTACGTGCGTACCTAGCACACTTTCGACGTCCTGGCGTGTAGGATCGACGGGCACTTGCTTTGAGGCGCGTTTGCGTGCTTCCGAAATCGTGCTTGAATGAACCAGCCACCCTCGCGACAGCCGGTGAACAAGGACCACAATAACCATAACGAATGTGTTTCAAAAATTCTGAGCTACCGTCACCGGGCGTATGACACCCGTCGCTCGGTTTGGTTGTCTGTTGCAAAATGACACGAGCCCACACGCCCATTCAAGCCCGTCGCGGCAAATGTGCTCTGGAACTCTTCATGGCTCCGAGAATAGGTCTCTTCGTGGGCCTCTTGCGCCACACTCGATATCGCCGCCCGGAACCGCGAAGGGAAGGCCGAAGAGTCGATCCCTGTGGTAGGCACACCGAGACACAAGTGACCTACTGCCACAGGTACAATAGCCACCATCGCTCAGTCAGCGCGTTCTACGCGAAATAAAAGATAACGCGCCGCCTACGATCCCTGGGAATTTAAATCTCAGGTTAGACACGACTTGGTAGCTCTTAAGGCTTTTGACCTTTTAGCAACAGTGTCTCAGTCGAGTGTTCCAGGCCTGTTCGACGATGTTGGGCTACAGTAATACACCACGGAGGAGGGACACGGGCCTCAGGCGAAGCAAGAGGTGCTTAGAAGGTAGCGCTTTCCGTGTGCGAAGAATGCACACTGAACGCTCATCTGCCAGCGAAACAGTACAAAAAGGAGATGTCATCAGATGTCATCCAAATGAATCACCGCGTGTCATGTGGCGGTCGATCCTTACTCAGAAATACGTAAAGGGTAGACCGCCGACGCAACTTGCCGAAAGAGCTTTGCCTCGATGTGATATAGGTGAAGCTAGTAGCACCGTGGATACCGCAAGAAGAATGCGCACGCACATACATGAGCTTTTCGTTTTTTTCCTCCCGTCTTTCATCGGCCCGGTTAGCGCAGTCGATGTCACCCAAAGAAACATAACCACGCCTCTGCGAAAATGCAAACTAACGAAGCACACGCACCTATGCACACCCGTTAAGAACGTGTACATAACGCCAGGCAGAGACTACCCGTTTCTTTATTCCTGCCGGCCGTCCCTCCTCCCCACTCCCCACTGACCAGGAAAGTGCCAACAAGCGTTCCATGTCATCCCGTTCAGAGACGAATCATGATAGCATTGGTGAGCCGGGACTGGCGAACCACACAGGTACATACAACCCAGTCGCCCCGGTGGTCTAGTGGGTAGCCTCGCAGCCTGCTAAGGGCCAGGTCATGGGTTCGAGTTCCGACAGAGTGAGTTTTTTCTCGCTAATTAAATCCTGGTCTGCGTTGGAAGCGACGCGCTCCAAAGCTCGTCGTTGGTAAACTTGATCGACTTCATCAGTCGCGAGGGGAGGGATTGCTGTACCCTTCTCGCGATAAAAATATCTCACGTAGGAACCGCAGGAGGGGGTCCAACCCCCCCCTCCTGTGTGACCCCGGTTGGGTCGTCTAGCTGGTAGAAGTGGAGGATAGGGGCCAGAGGGGCAGACGACAGAGTCCACCGATGGGAGACAACATACACAAAAAAATAATGAAACATTAAACATACACAAAGCACCGCACGCGAGAGACACAGAACAACGTAAACACACTTAAAAGGCGAAAATAAGGGTCCACCACACAGCCACTGACAGCACTCAACACAAATAAGCGCCACCTACACACCTCACATGCCCACCGCCCGTCACGGGTTTTCACGTGCATCTGACTTTCGATATACATCGCGGGCACAAAACCATCACGATACAGACGTCCCGGTACCAAAAAGGGGTCGGAAAAGATGAAACATGTCAAATATTCTCAGTGATCCAGTCCATGGGCGCACGGAAAGCGCACACGAAACACGATAAACAAAAGTTATTGCCGAATGACACATCCGGAGTGGAGCTACATTCAGCCCTCCCGGATACCCTTTGGATTCTTCACAAGGGTCCAGAGAGGGCGTCGTGCCCGACTTACAGCGAATGGGACAAAACGATAGCGCTGCACACTCCCCGCCTCCTCTGCCGGAGAGAACCCTAAGGACCAAACACTCAAAAGAGACGAACTCAAAAAAAACAGAGCACGGGGCTCGCTCGCTTCATGATAACAAAACCACGTTTGACACCGCCGCACCGTCACCCTCGCCCAGGGGTTACTCTATTCTCACCGTGAACGTCCCCCTCGACTGCTGTGGTTGGGGTAGTCTTAATGTATGTTTGCATGTTTTCCAAAATCATGACTTCCTTCCGGAGCCGGAATAAGAGAGCATTGCTGCAGAGCGTGATGCGAGAACATGCGAAAGACCGGGCACAGTTCAAACCGACAGCGAGGACAAATCAGCACATAGTGATACATCCTAAAAAATATGTTGAGACTCTTGAGGTCCTTGAAAAAAAAACTGTACAAATCAGTACATTGTCTTACGCCGTGATCCCGGCCTATCAGCCGAACCCAAAGAACGCATACTGAGATGCTGGGGGAAGAGAGGCTGTCACATCAAACGCCGCCCGGGCTTCAGTGAGATGCCTATGGGTATCTGTATCGGTCTCAGGCTGGTCGGAGTTGGACAAAAGCGGCATCGCCTCCTCGTGTCGGTTGTGCTGATGCACCTGCTCTCACACAGCAAAACGTCAGGCAGGATGAAGGGAAGGCGCGCGGGGGGGGTTCACCTTTGTTTGCTGTTGTAATCCATATGCTCATTGGCGCACGCACTTGTCAATACGATGGAAATCGTAATTTTTCTGCCGGTATTTTCTCACACAATGCGTCAGAGAAATACAAGGGATAACGACAGGGAGAACGAGAGAGAGGGCACCCATGACTAAAGAGGACCGCCGTGCCGTGCCAAAGAGAGATCTCCCTTGGTTGCTCCTAGAAACATCGTACAAGCAGACATCACACGCCTGCTGGTTCCTCCAACAAAAAAGCGGACTTCACGCCTGCTGTTTTAACCCTCCGTTCAATGCCATCTGTTGGTTGCGATGGCCTGAACACAACCACGAGCGTTCCGGTATTGTCGCCTCGAGATTTCGGATCAGGGGCTCCGCAAAGGGATCGAGTGCACATCTGGGTTACGGGTTCGGTTCTCGAGAACACCATCCATTGAATGAGCCACGACCACAATACACCTGAGCACTGCTGCGCGCTGGCAAGAGTGCCGTTGAGTTGGAGGTGCTTTCTCCCGAAACCTACCAGTTCCCGCGTGTCTCGGGGGCTCCGGTCAAACCGTCATATGACGAAGAAGAACAATATAAGTGCGATACTACCGTAGAGCAGCAAAGAAGCGCTGTGATGATGATCCCCATGCGCCGCTTGCTTGCCTGCTTGAGGGCGGCGACGGGGCTTATCGTGCCCGCCAGGTTGAAGAAGGTCCCGGTGCCGACCAGAATCCCGAGGCCCACCGCAACATACCCAAGATCCCGAAGCGCGCTGTCGGGTATGTAGTCTCCCTCCCACACATACCTATACATTTCGACGCAGACACGGGGAGGGAGTGCTCCGCATCATTTGACCATGGACTACGCATCACTCGGGAGGAAGGGCACCACCGTATCACCGCCCTTGCTGATCGAGTTGACCTCCGCCAGGTGCTCTTCGCAGGGAGTGGAGCCGTACATGGACCATAACGATAAAAAACGTCACGATGAAAACACTAGCAGGGACATGGTGCAAGTGTCATCGGCTTGAAGATCTCCAAGATCGTACCTGGACGCTACGCACACCTGGGAGTGGGCCGAGGCGGGTGAGCGACACGGACGCACCTTGTTCCACGTGTCTGCCGCGAGTGCTGAGGGCTGACAGACTGGGGACATGTCAATATTCCCGTCAACGCCAAATGCAAACACAAATGTAGTTCCTGTGTACGCATACTTCAAGTTTTGCACACAATGGTTGACCGCCGGTAGCACCGGTAGCTAACCTAGCAGCAAGTGTCATTTCCCAAGAAACGAACATCTTTACATGTCATCGCCAACACCACCCCCGTCCAAGCGAAACACCTCTACGAGTCCTCACCACTCTATCCCCGTCCACGCAAACACCACTCCCGTGAGCTCCGTCGCCGTCGTGACCCACCGCGGGACTTCAACGCAGCCTCCCCCCCGTCGTCTCGACCCCGCCCCTTCCCCCCCGCACTGGCTGCAAACATCGCCGCCGCAAAAGGACGTCGGGGCGGCTACCAGCCAACTACACCGAGGGCACAGGAGGTCGTTGACGACGCCGTCTAACAACGGCGGCGATGATGACGGCACCCTGAGATCGGGGTTATTGTTGCTCGCGTCCCAAGCCGCGGTCTCTATCGTGCAGGCGGCCGGGCCATCATGCACACCCACCGCGAGGGGCACTGCAGAACAGAACGTTCATCAGGATGGTGTACGATTACTCTGGCAACCTTGGGGGCGGGGGAATCTGGTCGTTTGGCGCACTCCCTCAAATTTCGGGTGTGGACGTTGCACCCCCTCTGAGTTGACAACCTACAATAACTACCTGTGCGAGGCCTTCACCTGTCAGGGTGTGGGACAGTTTGGGTATATACGAGAACAACTCAAAGCAACACCAGCACCACAGCACTAGAAGAAACCCAAACATACATGTACCGCAACATCGACTCACAGCCATCTTCAAGCCCGCTGTTCATGGACAGCCTGTCGGTGGCGACGAGGATCGAGATTCCGACCACGAAGAATACAAGCCCGGTCCAGTCCTTGTTCGGCCCGTTGTCTTCGATGATCTGTACTCAGATACAGTCATGTCGGGTTTTGGTATCGACTCGCTCGATCCATGACTTGCCTTTATCGAGGCTTGACGCAAAATTGTGCTAATTCAAATGCATTGTGAACGCTTGTTGATTGTCTTACGTCGCTCCAGCCGGAACAAAGTGCAAGACGCTCCAGATTGGGGGTCACATCTGGCGGGCTACGGATGACGCCACGTTTTGTTGAGTCATCCACATTGAAAAATCGTTTCGAACGTTCAATAAACCCTTTCGAACGGTCGATAAGCGTTTCGAACGGTCGGGAAACCGCCTCGACCGGATCATATCCGACCCGCTGCACGGTCTCCTTGCCTCAACATGCGGAAGAAAGCCCGATCCGGAGTCCGCATAGCCACTACTTCTTCTTTGGCACATTCCTTAAAAATTGATGCATTGAGCTTGTCTCACCTCGAGCCCAGGGAACACCTACAACTCTAACGTGTTTCGAAATCTTGCTATGTATGCATAGCAACCCGATGGAGCAGTCTGTTTAAAACCCGGACGGTTGATGTTCATTTCATAATGCTCCATGCCATCAGTTTCCGGCCTTTGTCCAAGCTCGTGACACAGACAGAGGAAAGCACCCCCCAATCATTGTCCGGCCGTTCCACTCGACGTACTGTTTCACGATACAAGTCTTCTGGTTGATGTGCACCTCGCCGATAGTTTGGGCATTGCAAACGAAGTAACTGGTCCAATACTTTTGTGAGGTGCCCCAGACTCCGTATTGTGAGAAGCTTGGTTACGACACTGAAGCAAGTCAGGCGAGAAACAAATACGCCGGCACCAGCAACACCAGCAACACCAGCAACAGCTACATAGACGAGGTAGCAGCAAGTCCACCACCATCATCATCAACAACAACACCGACGACCACAAGCCGTCGAACGAGAGGACTCACTTCTTCGACGCCCTTCCAGAATACGACACCGCACACGTTGCAGAACAGCGCCTTCGCGTAAAGCCTGCCCCTGTTGCCCGGGCTGAGCCTGGACGAGTGCCCACCGGACCGTTTTGCTTCCCGACAAAGCAAGAACCCGAGTAAATGTTGTGTGGAGGCGTTAGTGGTGTGCGTGACACCAAGACGAACCAACACGACGCAAGCACTTAAAGATGCAAAGCAAACGAAGGAGGCGAGGAAGGAGAGAGAAAAATGGCCAAAACGACAGAGAGAGAAGAAACGAGAGCGAGGGGGGGAGGGAGAGGATGGACGTATTTCGTTCCCTAATCCTGCCGCTTGCGACGACAACCACATGATTCCTTGTTTCCGTGCTTCCGCGGGGTGTTCTAGCCGTCCAGACTTGCTTGATCTACGCTTCCTGTTGCAAGATCGTCCCTAACCTGCAGACACCATCATCGCAGCGGGCCCGTCACCGATATCGTCCCCGCGAATGCGCTCGTCCTCGTCTTCGCTGGTCATGACCCAAACCATGCCGGCACCGCCGAGTGAAGCGCAGACCAAGTTGTACCTGATTTGAGTCCATTGGCGGGAAAACATGTTCCGTGATTTTCAACACCGCGCAAGCGGCGGTCTGGTTCTTTGGCCAATCACGTGCGAGTTCGGCACGACCTGTCCCGTTTCCCACTTTAGTTGGAGGTTGCCATCCAACCAAGGGGAGACGAAAGGTAACGCAAACGGTGCTCGAAAGCGGCTCTTGTTAGTCACGACGATCCCCCCCTCGGCTTTTTCCAGCAAAGTGAAACTGCCAAGCTATGCTGCATGCTTCAAACGGTCAACCTGTCATGGAACGGAAGAGCACACACTAACGCTTCTTTACACCCTGCAGAGTTAGCAGATGCATGGTCTTTCGATTTACTCGATATCTCAATCCGTGTCATGTGTACTCTTTGCCGTCTCGTACCAACAGAGGGATCGCGGCATTATCGGTGTAAAAGGCCTAGCCCCGGGAGAATCAGCAACATATTGGGGGGGGGGGGG